GTTGTTATGCGCATATGTTTGGGTTTCACATGGGCTGACATACGTCTTCACTCGTGATAGGATGGGATGCCTACCCCAGCTTAGATGATTTTATCTCCAGCCCAATGGTGTGGTTTACAAAAATGGGCCGGGCCATGTGGTGATGTTTCCCTCGTGTCTTAGAACAACACAATTGCATGGTTCACAAAAATGGGCATGGGGTTTTACAAGTGAAAATATCTTCTTTTCATCTCTACTTTCTCTTCCTAACATGTGGATGTAGACACAAGATCAAACCTAAGGCATCCAATGTTCCAAATAGGAAATTTCTGCAAATACTATGATGGTAATTGTTGTGTAGAAGCACTTTCTCAATAGATAGATTTGCTAAGGTACCATTTATTTTGGGTCTAGTGTCACTTTGGTCTTCATAACTTTAAAATGTAATAATTCAGTATCTGAACATTTAAAACGTGACAGTCCTACCTGCCGTTAACTAGTTGTTAACCAGCCGTTAAGTGAAATTTGAAAAAGATGCAAATACCCTTTGAGTGTCATCTAATTTTCTTTATCAACCATGCAAACATTGACAAAAAATTAACAGCCTTAAATCCTTGCCTCTTCTATTCAAAATATTAACATTGATAAACGTGACCCCAACTTTTCTCAATGGAAAAGGTAAAGATTTGGGACTGTTAATTTTTTGTCAACGTTTAGATGGTTGATAAAGAAAATTAAATAACACTTGAAGGGCATTTGTGTTTTTTTTCAAATGCCACTTAACGGCTGGTTAATAACTAATTAACGGCAGGTACTAGATTGTTAGGTTTTAAAAGTTTAAGTACTGAATTATCACAATTTAAGTTCGAGGAACAAAGTGACATTAAACCCAAAGTACAAGGTATTAATCGAAAATTCCCTTAAAAATATCTTAAAATCCCAAAATCCAAATACCATTTTCTTCTCTATAACTCTCATGCTTCAATGGTTCTGATGCTTTTAGGAGGTGTGGTGGTTTGTTATTGGTTTGGAATCCTCACATCAATCTAATTGTGCTCAAAGTTACGATTTTTGCTAACCATGTAGTAATCAAGGATTCTGATGGCTTTGAATGGTTTAGTTCCTATGTTTATAGCAGGCCAAGCTATAGACCAAGACAAATCTTCTTTGATTAGTTGAGGATGTGGGTAGATACAATCTAGAGTCCCTAGCTTTATATAGGTGACTGGAACTTCCTAACCAGCAATGATGACAAAGGAGGTACAATCCTCAATGATAATATGATAATGGAAGCTAATTCCTTTCTGGATTATAGGGTTTTCGTTATACTTGGAGTGGTCTCAGGAATGATGAGATTGTTAGGGAAAGGCTGGATAGGGCCTATGCCAATCCAAATTGGTCCACAATTTTTTTTTCCTGATATGGCAATTTCAAAAACAAATGAAAACATAGTAGAAAATCCCCCTTAGTATTTTTAGGAAGCATAAACCTGAAATAAATCCCAGAATTGAGTTGTAAACATTATGACTTCTTGTTGGTGGTGAGGTAATGGGAACCACTGAGATCAAGTATCTTCAAATTTTTGGGTCGCTTCATTTTCTTCCAGACTTGTTTGAGGCTGCTGTGTTGCATGTCAAGAACAACTAGATTTTGAAGATGAAAACTGCTTGGATTACATTTTAAGCAAAACCCATGTCAATAGAGCCATCTTAACTCTTTAGAAAGATGTTCAAAACTCCCCTTGATGTCTACATAATTGAGTTGAAGCAGTCTGATCTCCCCATATTTGCAAATGTTGAAGTTTTTAATGGTTCCCTTTCTTTATCTAGATGAGTTATCCAGGATGAGGCCTTCAATTGCTTCTGTACCTGTATGATTTTTCAGAACATCATAGACATCTTTCTGAAGCCATAGCCTACCGTGCTTCTTAGGCTCTCTTGGAAACTTGTCACAAACAATTTTCTTCCCCAATTTGAGAAGAAGATTATACATCTCCAATGTATTTATCCCATCATTCTTATAAGAGACTTAGTTACAAGATGATGCGGAACATTTATATAAAGGCCTGCGAGAGCCTGGGACCCATTGCAAGAGGTCTTTAATTACTCACATCTATATAAATGCCTCATTTTTACCTGAAGGGGTATGCACGATTAAGCTCTCACACTCTTTAATCTCTTAAGAACTTCTAAGAAATCTTCGATGACTTAAGTATCGGAGTGCCCGCCCTGGATAAAAGCAAGCCGGGCACTCTAACTCTCTCTTGTAGAATCACACAGCTCGGCCCAGCTAAGCTCGGCCTCTGATAGAGTAAACATCCGATTCGATGTCTGAGTCATTTGCCATGCAAGAGTCGCCATATCATGCTCCATCATTTTCTAGTGGTGGGTCTCATAATGTTGAGGAAATACTCAACAACATTACTTCTCATCTTTCTGAGGAAGAGAGTAGATTGTTAGACCAGCTGGTTTCTGATGAAGAAATCCTTGCTGCCCTAAAGCAAATGGCTCCCTCCAAAGTTCTTGGACACAATAGTTTACCTAATTTTTTTTTTCAGAAATATTGGACTCGGCCCGGGTGTTCTTGCTGCAATCCATGAGTTTTTTAACTCTGGCGGAATGCTAAAAGAGCTTTATAATACCCTTAATGCACATCCTTAAATTCAACAATTTAGAGTCAGCCTTGCATTTTAGGACCACAAGCCTCTGCAATACCCCTTATAAGATCATTACCAAGGTTCTCTCCAATAGGCTAAAGCTAGAGTTATGGTTAATGGCACTTCTAGAAAGGTTATTCACCCTAATAGAGGGTTAAGGCAGGGTGGTCCGCTTTCTCCATACTTATTTATTCTAGTTTTGGGGGCTCTTTCAGCTATTCTTACTTGCAAAGTTAATGACAAAACTCTTTTTGGCATCAGATTGAACCATTGGGCTCCTACTATCTCCCACATCTTTTTTGCTGATAATAGCTTCCTTTTCTCCAATGCTAGCCTTGAAGAAGCAAATGAGATTTTAAGCTCTCTTGACTTTTATAAAAATCCTTTGAAGGCAAAAAATTCCTTTGTTTGGTTTCACATATTATGGGCCCATGTATTTTATCACTAGTACAGGGTGTTGTAATTGGTTTCACAGCTTGTTTCAGAGCCATCACATTCAGTTAACCCAAAGAAAATGAGATCAATCCTGCAAAATATTTGAAAAACTTTGATTGTTGATAATGCTATTTGTGAGCTTATTGTGCAAGAGAAATTACCATTGATGTGAGGTAAAAGAATATTTGCAGCCAATATTGTTTTAACCAAAAAAGATAAACAAGCAATTGAATGGGCCGTATCATACCATGGAAACTTCCAAATAGCCAAAGTTTTCACAAGAACCTTATGCTCTCTGCGGTATGGTCAATGGGCCTTAAATGCAACCTGCTCTGTCCCCACCCCTTATTTCTCTCTCTCTCAAGTTATTTTGATTAACACCCTGATTTCTCACTAATGTGTACTAAAACCAAGTGAGTTATATTTTTTTATTTGTATAAAATTAAAGATCACTACATGAACAAGTCTTAGAACTTTTTTACAGACTGCATCAGCTCAATTTGATAGCTATTTTACTGGTTATGGGAACAATCATTTTATTTCATGTAACCATAAATGCAAGTGAAAGATTGTGTCGTTGTGGACCACATGTATTCTATGGCTGATGTGGAATAAAATGATTGGTCCACTGCCAATAAAGTAGCTATCAAATTTGAGTTCACATCTGTGCCCCATAAGGGGGCATTTCACAATGTCCCACAGCACATCGTCGTTATGTATTAAGAATATTTCTCGATGATAACATTATCCATTCTGATCTTATCATCGGGAGATGTTTCTAAATTCTAATACATAGCGGGAATGTGCTGTGGAGACGTTGTGAGGCATCCCTTGTGGCGCAGATCCAGATCTGAATTCATCAAATTCAACTAATCCATCCATCCCTTACCAGTTCTCATTTTGAGATCAGCATTGAAGATTTGAACGAGTGTCTATGATTGTTTGGTTGAAGGGGTATGATTGGTTATTTGGCGCATATTGAAGGTCATTTAACTCTTGGACATTTCCAATTGACAAATGCACTACAAATGAGTTTTTCCTTTTTTATTTTTTTTCTGGCGGACAATAGCTGAAGTTGCTGCATTGAAAGACATTGATTCCTTTGTCTTTTAATTGACAAAATATTTGAATAATAAAATTTTCGAGGGTATAGACGTATGGTAATCTACCTATCTTCTGTTTCAGGTTAAAAACTTACTTATTCACTAAACGACAAAATTAAAAACTTTTTTTTTTCAGTTCAGTATCTTCAATTATTATCAAACAGCCCCTTAAATTTAGAAGAACTCGGGACGTCCGTTACAACCTAGAACAGCCAGCCGCTCACAAATACAGAGACTAGTTCCGTTTCCGGACACATTATGCCCCCCATCAGCCTCGCCTGGCCAAGACACAACTTGCCTGTTGATGCGCACAAACCGGGTCCCACATTCAATGACCTTTCAAATTCTCGCACAATCGTACAATCGGTGTCTCTTCTCATCTCCATCATCTACCCTCCATCTTCCACCCCATGTATACGGTACGGTATGTGAGTGTATCCAGATCTCAATCTCAACCCCCTCCGGCTTCAATTCCCTTCTTTCTTCTCCCTTTTATAGCGATTCAATGAAGGATCCCTCGTACCGAGACCAAGGGGGACGCATTTAACCAATGGAGCTGTCAGATGGGACTTGTACAACTATAATGTGGTTGGGGTGGAGAACGGGTGTTAGTTTGTAGTATTCCGATCTGACGACAAAGGAATCGTCTCATCTTGTGGGGACCCCTCGTCGAACAAAAATCTTTCCTTTTTATTATTACCACCACCTTTTCTGATATTCATTTTCTCGCCACCATTGGATGAGAAGAGAGGGACAACGAAAAAGGGACAGAGCAGGAAAAAGAAAAAGAAAAAGCAAAGTTACCATTTTGTCCGTTTTTAGTATTATTGGATGGATGGTTCATGGATGGATGCAAGTGTAACGGAGGCATTATAAATGAAAAGGCGTGTGTGGTGGAATCACTCCGGATTCATTCGATATTTGTTTCCCTATCTGAACCAAATATGTGCGGAGGAGCTATCATCTCCGATTTCATCGCCGTGAAGCGTAGTCGTAATTTGATGTCGCAAGACCTCTGGTCGGAATTTGACACCATCTCCGATCTCCTGGGTTTCGACTTCACTGACAAAGATTCGTCTTCTTCTTCGACCCATCAACCGAGCAAAGGTGAGAAACTGAGAATCATCTTATTCCAAACAGCTAGACAACTTTGGTAGGTTTTGAGAATTTTTAACAGCAAAACGCGTTTGCTCTCGGAATGCAGGAACCCGTGATAAGACTAAGAAAAGGAGCGCGGTTGGAGCAGATCAAAGCAAGGGTAAAAAGAAAACAGCTGCCAGAAAGAATATTTACAGGGGCATCAGACAGAGGCCATGGGGGAAGTGGGCTGCTGAGATACGTGACCCACGGAAAGGGGTTCGAGTCTGGCTTGGAACTTACAACACCGCCGAAGAGGCAGCCAGGGCTTACGACGTGGCTGCAAAGAGAATCCGAGGCGACAAAGCCAAGTTGAATTTCGCTGAACAAACACCACCGCCACCCAAGCGACGTTGCTTGGTCCCAAAGTCGACTCAGATGAGTTTTGAGGCCAGCGGCTCACCGACGACTGAAAATGAAATCTGTGAACACAATCATCATCAACCGAAGGATGATATGGAACTGAGAGAGCAGATATCTAACTTGGAATCATTCCTTGAGCTTGATCCAGAACCAGCGGAGTCAGTGGGGAGTGTAGAATCGGAAGCATTTGATCTTTGGTTATTAGACGACGTTCCCTTCACTCCTCATGGTCACCTGGTTTACTGAAGAAAAGAGTTTCTGTCGCCGTGCGTCAATCGTGGGATGCCGCTTGTGTTAAATTTTGCTACAGTCTTCGATGCACATATTATATAATATTTAATGAGATATACTATGATAAATAAGTTGTTTTTGTGTGGGCTGGTTGTTACGTCAACGTTAGTTGTCTGCTCTGTGTTGGTTTGGTTCGACTTTCGAGGGCTTTGGTTTATGGGAGTAACGTCAGTGCATGTATCCAGTCGACACGCCGATTATTCCATTTCTACCACATATAAACTATATGTACATCCCATATTAGTTAGCTATATATTAATAAATAATTAAGTATGATGATGGCCCATGAGTTCATGGTATAATTCAGACCAGCCATAATTAAGAGATGAATTATCATGGCCGGGACCTATCTATTTATGATTTACATGGGGCATTATTGTTGGTTCTACAATCCTCTTAAGTCTTAATTGTGTTCAATTTATTCGATCTCTGATTAGCATTTGGATTCCGACTTACAAATTAAAAGTAGAGATTCCAGGAGAAAGCCTTGGAGTGGATATCTTATATTGGTTTGATAATTCAGATAAATACATACGAAGTAGTGTATGGTCCAAGAATAATGCTAATTAGGATATATGAAGGAAATCTTTGATGAAATGTTAGTGGGGTAGAATTGGATTATCAAATTATATATTTGAAGTAGTGCGATCTGGCTGCTTCTTGTTGGAGGTGACCTGGTTTCCAGTCAGACAACGGACTAAGTTGATCTGCAAGAGGAGGATCAGAGAATCCGGGGTTGCTAGCCCGGTAAGGTCGCTCCGATCCTTAAGTTAGTAGACTGTTGCGAGCTAAAAGTTTAAGAGTGTAGAGAGCTAGAGAGCAGAGTAATCATGCGTACTTTGTGCCCGCGGGTTTTGCGGAGCGGTTCCGGGATCCTCGTCACGATGAGATCCGTTCCCGCGTTAATTGAGGGATAACGTTGCCAACTGATAAGGCTTATCAATTCCGCCCGAATTGGGCGAGGGAAAGATAAGGCTTACCGTTACGAGGTGTGATCCCGTGAGGCTCGAATTCTGATGGAGAGATTTCCGGGGTCGCCATGTAGTGGTCTGAGTCAGTATCCCTGAACTAATGCTCTTTAGTTCCGAACTGGAGTGAACGCCGAAGTGCCTTGGGACCGAGGTGGTCCTGATGCGACCTTGTGCCGAGGTGACCTCGTCCCGAGGTGACCCGTGCCAAGGTGATTTGATTATCTGAGCTCGATCTGTTGCGGACTTGGTATGTCGGGCTGAACTGTCATCTATTAGTCAGGTCGTGTCCACATATCCCCCTATTACTAGATCGGGCTAAATCACCCTTCATCAATATTCAACAAAAAAGAATGTTAGATGTGAGAAAATATTGAGATATATGGATAAGTATTAAATCCCAGAAGGTCAATATTTCAAAAGAGCATAGATATGGGAAGGTAAAGAAGCCTGGTTAAATGACAAAGGTTGCATTTGACATTCTTTATTTTAAGGACTTTATTTCCTTTCTGTAGTAAAAACTTAGTATTAATAAAGACATTTTAAATTTTTAACTGTCAAAAAGAAATAAATCCTTAAAATAAGGAATGTCAAATGCAGTTTAAGATTGACCACCTTGTCTACATACAAATTTATGACACCAACCGTGGAATTAATCCATTTGTTGCCAGTTGAAGAGTCAGAGTCTATAATACGCAGGGATAAGCCCAAAAGATGTGTTAAAGTAATAATAATGATTTTCATAATTTAACAATGAACATGAGAACAGTATTCTTATAATTAACCATAAAAGAAGTTGTTTATCAAAAAATTAAAAAAAGACCATAACAAAGAAGCTATATATTATTGCATCAACTGAATTTTGTATTGTAATTTCATATGAAAACTAAAACTTAGTAATCCCAATATCCAAAGATGATCTATCATGATATTTTTTAACCGAAAACCACAAAGTTCTAGGCAAAGGGGACTTAACACACTAATTTATGCTAAAAATAATTAATTTCTAGGAGAGATCAGTTATATAAAAGCAACTTTAAGACGCTAAACATCAACAGCCCTTTCATCACAATAAAATATTCGAATTTGTCTTCAATTCACATACATGAATACAATCAATTTTTTTTTCTTTAATAATAACAACAACGATACAGCCCATTTTATTATTCTTTTTTTTTCTTTTAGTGGGGTTAGAGATAATGCTAAAATGATACGACTTATGTCATTGTTTTGGCATGAGATTTCATATCAACATTATTGCAATAAATTGGTCTTCTAGTAATAAATTAAATGACCTCTTGGGCGACATGATGTTTAGTTTCATTGGTCGGTGATTTGGTATCGGCTTCTTTTTTGGTAGAAATGCGTTGTTCTTCGCAAAAGGGAGATTAATTATGGCATCAACACTGCGTGATATATTTTTTAAATAAAATTCAGAGGATTTTGATAAACTTAAGCCCTTATAGCTCAGTGGTAGAGTAACTTCATGAGGCTAGTTTTCTACCTCCGCAGCTCTAACATCAAGAAAAGAAAAAAAATAAATAAAACGAATTAACTCATGACGAGGCCATCCCGACCAAGGATCCAAGGGGATCTGAAGTGGGACAGCTTATTGCTGAACCAGAACCAATTCTCTGAGTTATTGAACAAGTTGCATATTGCACATTCTTTACCATATACAGCGGTGATCTATATACAGGGGTTTTCGATTATTGAAAGCAGCAATTAATATGATTTTTGCAACGTGCGAATCAGTTGGTTGGTAACTTGGTATGACCTCCTAATGGTTGTAGTGGCGATTTGGGATCGAGTCATGCCTGCACCTGCTTGAGAGATGGCCTACCTTTTCTTGCATAGCTCTTCAAAAAAAAATTCTATATTACTACTTACCGTTAAGCAGCCGTCAGTTATGTATGTTACATTATATTACGTGTGACTTATTTTTCAAAATGTCAAAATTATCCTTAAATAAAACACCGTTCATCTTCTCAATCAAATAAAACAATGTTCAAACATTAGCGCATGGAAAGATCATTCCCCATTTAGTATTTTCCACCGGTCCAATTCAATCCTGATGATTGGGACTTTGGAGAACAGCCGTATTTGCCTAATTTTCTCATTTATTTTTTTCCTACTCTATATAACAAAAATCTTCAAAACTGAAGGCTGTGTTAGGAATCAGTGTAAAAGTTTACACTGTTTCGATTTTGTCCATGTTTGGAAGGAGAGTGTAATTATGGTCGACGTAAAACTTCATTCTGGTTCAATTTTGCGTATGTTTGGATGGATTAGGGTTTTATGCCGATAATCGATGTAAAACCTATCAAATGTAAAGTTTTACATTGATTATCGATGTAAATACTACATCAATTTTATCAATGTAAAACTTTATACTCTTCACCCATCGCATTTTTCGAAAACCAACGGTCACTTTCACAGTTCAGTGTAAAACGCCATCGGTGTACTTTACACCGATGGCGTTTTACACTGATTCCAAACGCAACCAAAATTTTAAAAGAGAACTGGTGTTTTATTGCTTTAACTTATAAGTCAAAACCATAAAAAATGGAAAAAGGGGGAAGAAGAAAATATAGAAGGGAAAAGAAAAGCTAAATAAGAAATAATAGCAGCAACGGTAGTAAGTAGATCACTAGAAAGCTAAAAGAGATTGCCAACAAAAATCAATAGGAAAAATATCTTTTTTACATAATTAGAAAGGATATACTACAAAAACAGAGAAGTGAGGAGTCGGAAGGGATATGTTACTGAATGTTAAATTTGAAATATATCATCCATTCTTGCAACTAGGGGTGGATTCGATCCAAGCTGAGTCGAATCGAATAGTACGGGGCTCGAGCTCAATTCGAGCCAGAACCTTGAGCTTGAGCTCAGCTCGAGTAAAAAATTCATAAGCTCGACCTCGGCTCGGCTCGAGCTCGATTTTGAGAAAAAATGTTTATAAAAATAAAAAATTATATATAAAAATATTTTTTATTTGATATTTAAAAATTAAGAATTATAATAATTAATAATTATAATATTTTTATTATATATATTATTTTCTATAATTTTATATATATATATATATATTGGAGTTGGCCCGCGAGCCTTACAAGCCGAGCTCTAGTAGGCTGGAGCTCGGCTCATTTCATAATTGAGCTAGTGAATTGGGCTCGTTGCCACCCCTACTTGCAACTAACCTAGGAGATCCTAGAACACCTTTGAAACAATCATCCTCGGTAGGCCCAAACCCATCTAATATATCATTGAATAGACCATAGCCTGAGCAACTAGCCGCAACACCTTCTCTCAATTGGGTTTCTTCCTCCTCTTCTCCTTCTCTTCCTCTGTGTCTTCTAAATCTTTGTCATCGTCCATTACTATTGTCTCTAATTCATCATATGCTTTTAATACAACAATGAGCACGCGACCTTCAAACAGTGCCATATGCTTGAAGAACTTATCCTTTCTAGAGAAGCTCATGCCACATGAGCAACACCACTTTGTCACGGGGCTAGTCGATGAAGCCCCATGTGGCGCTTGATTAGGTTAAGTTTGTGTCTAGAAGACCTCGTTCTTTTAACCTTTACATGGTATTGGCACCACTCAACTACCTACCTCCCCTCAAGAGTAGGTTAAGCTTTTGGTGCTTTGATAAAAAGTTACATCAAAATGTTGAAAAATCATACTATTATTTATAATAATGCCACTGGCATCCCTCCCTACAAAAGTACATGTGTAACCCCACCCAAGACACACTACATGACACTCTGATGGTGTGGCAAAAATGGTCACTTGTGATAGTCTCCCCTACTCAATTCAGTCTTCATCCTCGAAGACTAGCTTCTACTTGCTACTTGAGTCTATGGTTGATGAAGGAGGGTTCTTCTGTTGCACCACAAACTTCTTTTCTTCCAAGGCCCAGGCATGTGCTTGGGTGATAGGTTTGAAAGTGTTTGAAATGGTGGGGAATCCTATGGCTAATGTTTTGGTGGAGTCTCATCCTAGCCACTTCAAGGTAGGTCATTGGATGGTTCAACTTGGTTGTAGGGAAGTTTCGAGCCAGGTCAATGCCAAAATGATGTTTTGGATTGTTGGGGCATTGGTTCCCATGAATTTTTTTCCCAAGGGTGACTACTCACAAGACTACTACGTCGTCTAGCCTGAGGAATGGCGCGAAAGTGGTCCCTAAATGGCTTGGGTGGCACTCGCTCTCCTTGATGGTTGTGGTAGTAGGTGTGGTCGAAATTGGAGATGGCCTTGGGTCTTCGGCTTTGCTTGATGGTTGTTGAAGGGTATAAACGCTGCTTCTGGAGTGTTGAGGACCGCTTGATGGTCTGTTGCTTCACGCTGGCATCGATGTTGGCTTTAGAAGTGGCTTCTTCAGCTGGTGGAGTGGAGAACTTCTCTGCTTTCTCATT